CCCGGGCGCTGCCTCCGCCGGCTCCCGCTTCCTCCTCCTCCGGGACTACCGCTCCCAGAAGCGCCCGGGCTGAAAGTGAAAATAAACGCCAGGTTGCGCTTCGTTTTTTTCCTCCTCTCCCCGGCGGCGGTAGCACATGTCCTTTCTCTTTTGTTTTCCGCCTGGCAGGCCGGCTGCGCGCTCGGGCCGCGGAAGCCGCCGAGAATCGCCGCCCCGAGGGAGAAGTGGGATCGGGACCCCGCCGGAGCGGCGTCCGGGAGCTGCCGCCCGGCCCTCCGGAGAAGCCTAGAAGCGACGGTTTTTATGGAGCTGGAAGTCCAGACGGAGGAGTAAAACTTTGCAGTTTCTCTCCGCGATTCCCACATGCAAGTTGATAACGTGAGAGCAGCTGCTTTTCTTGCTGCTGCTGCTACCTCGAGTGCTGAGGGGCCAGCGCTCTCCTCCCCCACCTGCTGCTGTTTCCTTTACCCGGCCCTAGAGCTGCTCAGTAGGTTTGCCTTGCCATGTGGGGCTAGGAGAGGTGCAGCGATTTTCCACAGCGTGAAGCGGTAAACATGGAGGCGGCGTGCAAACCCGACGGCGGGGAGCAGAGTCATCAAGGCAGCGGCGTGGACGCCCCTGGGGACGCTTCCATGGACTGCTACTTGCGATCTCAGGGCTTGTACAGAAAGAGAGTTGCCAAGGATGGATCTTGTCTTTTCAGGGCTGTGGCCGAGCAGGTAACTGCTTACATAGACAAAGCTACTTCGCATGAAAGCATGGGAAGTGGATCTCATTAGGGGGTGATAATTAGTGTTAAAATGCAGACGAGTGTAGGTTAAGGTTGCACAGTCGTGTGCCAGAGGAAAAAAAATAATTCTGTCTTGCGGGGTGAGAGAAGTTTTGTGTGTACAGCCGCCTTCTGTCATCAAGAAATTGTTACCTGTTTTCACCTTCCACTGCCTCCTCAGAGCTTTTTTCAGTGTAAGATTTCAACTTTTGGGTGTAACTGCTTTGTATGAGACTGTTTAGGAAACGGAATTTAGTGGAAGGAGCTGAAAAGCCTTGTTCTTAGTTTTGTTAATTAGTTTACTATAAAATTAGAGAAAGTGAGTAATTTGTTTTCAGTTCTTCCTGTTGAATTCCCCTCCCCCATTTCAGTGTTACTGTTAAAGGAAAAAAGTGACAGCGTCATCTTGTCTTAAATACAAACAAACAGCAGTGGGAGCTCTCGTGCTTCTGATTGTGGGAGCCCAGATTCCTGTGCTAATTATACACAGTTCACTTTTTTTTTAAAAAATTACTTTCCCCACTGAATTTACAAGTTCAGGAGAGCAAACACTATTGATCTGAAGTGAGTGGGGTTTTTTATTGCAAGAGAATAATCAATGGATATACATTGATATTCTGATATTTTTAATTATTATATAGAAGGTTTCTCCCACGCTCCAGTGTATATAGCACTTTTTTCAACTATTAATTAAATTTTTAACGTCCCATTCTTACTTTAGTAAAGGGAAGGTCTTTAATTCAAAGTTAGTACGTGTTTATCCACAAATTTGGCCTAATCTCTGTACTCTTTATGCAGAAGAACGGAACTGATCTGAATTTGGAAGTGTTTTAAATTAAGGGTAAGGATTGCAAGAAGGGCTGCCATTTAGATTGACTGGAACTTCCCTATGTTGTAGTGAGGATGCAGACAAAGGTACATTAGAGATAACTCTGAACCTATGATGAAACTAATATTTTTCCAGTAGAGATTTGAACAGGAGGCAGAATGCAGGTGTCATATTGGGATCTGAATTCCTGGCTTCCAAATCAGTATTTGGGCAACAGACCTACACCTCTTAAAGTCAAGAGAAAGTAACCCTGCACTCTCTTACATTTGGTCGGATTTCATTTGAACAAATGCATGTTGGTAGTTGATTTCCTCATCCACTCCTGAGGTAATTTACTTCTTCAGTTAATTGAAGTCCTTTACAAAGGAGTTGGTTAACGAATGACAACAAATGCTATTCCTTTTGCTCAGTAAATCCTCATGAAATTGAATGTTTGAATTTAATAAATCTGTGAATTCTTCGGTTACTTAATTTTTTATTAAGTCATTGAGGTTTCACCTGCATAAAGATGTTGTTACTGAATGAATATGCATTTTAAATATTCTTAAAAATAAAGCTAGAGTATTTCCAAGCCTGTATTTAGACAACAGTCATTAATTATTTGTGACCTGTCATAAAGACTCCTAAAAAACAGTGTCACTTTCTTCTGTTTCTCCCTTTGTAGGTGTTACACTCTCAGTCTCGGCATTTTGATGTTAGGATGGCTTGTGTAGACTATCTTCGGAAAAATAGGGAGAAATTTGAAGCAGTAAGTATTTTTGGGTTTTTTTGTGAGCGTTTAAAAAAATGTTACTTTATTCCTTCCACTTTTCTAAGGTATATTCTGCTGTTGTGACAGTATTTGTCATAGCTATATACTACTTGATGCTTTTTAAGGTGAGTGCTCTTTAAATTAATTGGCACATGTGTGGTAGTACTCAGTTTCATAAGCCTGGAGAAAGACCTGTATACTGCTTGAACTGGAGTCACGTGGGGTGGGAAGAGTTTTTAATGCTCATTAAAAAACAAACTTTCTTAAACTTTAATAGTCTGTAGTGGAGCTACCAAAATCTGGATTTTATTGTAGTATAATGCATATTTTAATAAAGGTCATAAAATGTTCTTATTGTGCTATTTAATTGCTTTTACAGTATATAAGGAATTTGACTGATGAGATCAGTGAAATTTGTTTCAGGGTCTACAATCTATTTTGCATTGCTA